CTGCCCCCGGCCCCGGGCGGCGCCTAGAAATTCTGTCCATAAAAATAATGAACAGAACTGGTGACAAAGGGCAGCCCTGCCGGAATCCAACATGCACCAGAAACAAGTTTGACTTACTGCCAGCAATGCAAACCAAGCTCCTGCTCCGGTCGTACAGGGACCGGACAGCCCTTAGCAAAGGGCCCTGGACCCCGTACTCCCGGAGCACCTCCCACAGGGCGCCGCGAGGGACATGGTCGAATGCCTTCTTCAAATCCACGAAACACATGTGGACTGGTTGGTCAAACTCCCATGAACCCTCCACCACTCTGAAGAGGGTATAGAGCTGGCCCAGTGTTCCGCGGCCAGGACGAAAACCGCATTGCTCCTCCTGAATCCGAGGTTCGACTATTGGTCGAATTCTCCTCTCCAGTACCCTGGCATAGACTTTCCCGGGGAGGCTGAGGAGTGTGATCCCCCTATAGTTGGATTTACACTGATGAGTCAAAATGTTAAGATCAACACTGATGTGCTAGACCACTGTCAGTAGGCGCTCACCACTGCTGACCAGGACCAGGTTCTAAACCCTGGCCAGAGGCACTCAGGTCATTGCACCTACCCATTTCCCAAACATCTCACATGCTGAATTGTTCACTCACTGTCTAGTGTTTTGACAATGTCATCTTGGTCTCCAAGAAATAATAGATGATATATATTATTATAATAGTTGCTTTTAGACTAAACAATTATTTTAAAAAAGACGAGAAATTGTGTTTGTTCTTCATTAAAAATAGTTTAGCTTTCTATATCACTGTACAAAGGGCACGCTGCTTCCTGTTGCAGGTCTGCACATGGACTCTGGATCTCAATTTGTGCTGCAGAATTGTTCAATATGAAGGTAATTCCAAGGGATATGTTTTCTCATTATGTTATATGCAGTGTCTGCAGGGTGATTGATGGGTTAACAGCTAAAGAACAGACATACTGACCTTGACCCATTTCTTCAGTATTGATTGACATGCAGCATTTTGCACTACGCATGTCTCTATATGAATATGTCAGCATTTAAACTGCTGTAGATCACACTGAGGAGACCTGAATTCACTACCACTGGGTGACCCCTCCTTTATCCCCTCCTCAGGAGGAGTACAGAGATCCCCCCTTTCATGAAAGGGGAAGGAAGAGTAAAAGGAGCCCCTTTTTGATATGAGCCTCCCTGAGGGGCTCTCCTGCTACTAAAGAATGTTAGAAGTTCAAGTTCCAGCCAGTAGCCCTTGAAAGCTGACCTGGTCTGCCACATGTCCTCTGTCACCAGCCAGCAAGGACAAGGGCAGGCAGGCTGGGCAAAATCAGCCAGTGCATGAAGGTGAGCCATCTGAAAGTGGCTACTGATACTGGAAGTGACACAATATAGGCAGGTTAACAACATGCATATTGGCTGCATGTTTTTATTTTTACAGAGCTAGTAATAGTAATGGATTTCTGAGACCAGTGCTAGTTTTTATCAAGGATATCAGAATCTCTCCTTATAATAGATTAGGACCTAAATTATCAACCCTATCACCAGACATGGACTACAGCTCTGGACAGTTCTGCAAATAAAAACCTAATGCAAAAGATTTGTAAGTACAGTACCAAGGCTTTCTTGTGAAGGACAGGAAAAAATTGTGTTTATGGTTAATGAGAAGGTGAACATTTACTGCAGGTCTGTAATGGGACACTAACTTGTCTCCTCCATGGAATCTGGCCATTCTACTGTACCTACCATTCCAAATGCTTCACCTTATGAGGTCACAGAGTTTCAATCTCACTCGTGGTTTGATATTTTGTCTCCATTTTTAATGCCTTCTTTTTTTTTACATAGAATGTATCCTGCTCTGGGGCTCCAGATCAGAATTAACCTCATTAATTAGTGTTGTCCCTGATAAAGAAATGAAGTATAATATCTCCTCTTGTATGTACAGTGTACATGTATGGTCACTAATGTATGGTCACTAATATACCATATCACCTGTAACCTTCCAAGAGCCAGACTGGATTTGGAAAACCACTTTTTTATTTTATTTTATTTTTTTCAAACAACTCAGAGGTACTGTCGGAGCATTCTAGTGACTGGTGCCACCTAGTTGCATTGTTGTTGCCATAAGACTGTGAGAACCACTTTCTTTGTTTTGTTTTGTTTGGTTCAATGCAATCAGCCGTAAGCATTTGCTTAAACCTGTACAATTTTTGTCATTGCCTTTTAATACCCTTACTGTCATCAATAAATATCTCTGTTCCTACAGAATCTACCTGACCTGAGGTTCAGAGGGTCCTAACAGACCAGGACACCTCTGGAGTACACCTCTAAATATCAGCACAGAGTGGAGGTATTTCCTAACTTAATGATGCTTCCCCCAAATTTTAGGCTAGTTGGGACAGATTTGCTGTTTTGAAATGGTTGATAAACATGACTTCCAGAAACAGAAGTTATTTATTTCTTTACATACTTACTTTGAGTTACCAGGACAAACACATTAATGTTTTTGCCTCTGTTAAGGACCTGACACCTTCTGTATGTTACATACTGATATTGTGTTTTTTCTTAAAAAAAAAAAAAAACCTCACCAACAACATGAAGAAAATCTGGCAATTATGACTTGCCACAGCTCTGGTACTGCCTTTCAAATGCTTAATGAACACTGTTGACCTCAGTTCAACAAAAGCAGTTGACAAAATGAACTGCCGCACAGCATTGCAATGCCACTTAGTTGACAGTGATGCTTCAGCCATTAGCTGCAAGCATCAGCCAGTCTGGACTCTTTACCACACGGGAACTCTACACAAGTGCTCTTAACTGCTCTCCTTCTGGATAAAAAGGAATCTATTTTTTGCCCATTAGCACTGGCATTAAGAGCTATTATTTGCCTTAAAGGCGATAACTATCCACTCTCACATCACCCGTCATTACTGTTATTATTCTGAGTCAAACTTGAAAGGACACAGGGATGCTTGACAGGCACTGTAGCCGCCATTTGTTTGGCTGCTCTTCGAGAAGAAAAATGGGGAGCGGAAAAAGAAGGAGGGGATTCTTAGCTTAGCCTCAGCATGGTAATGGAGATGGAAGGAATATGTTTGTGTGGGCAGATCAGACATAGCAATAAGAACTGTCTTGACCTGAAGATGAAAGATGTTTTTTTTCTCAGTTCCAGGTTTACACTGGTCAACAATGAAAGACGTTTTCTTATAGCAGTCAACAGCAGTAAAGTAGCAATGGAAAAAAATTGGGATTATTGAGTTTAATATGTAATTCCATGTGACCAAGCCACAGACAATGTCAAGGCAGGGTGTGGTAGACCAGAGCTATATGCCCTAACGATCCCTAAATCCTCCCAGGACCTCAAAAACACTTGAAAGAATAAATGACTCATCTCATTTTACTCCCTCCCCAGTATGTGCAGATATTGCTGAATGGGCAAGGAGCTGTGGTGAGGAGCAGCTAGGATGGCACAGTGATGGGCCTCACCTGTAATGGCATATCTCAGCCACTCCTTATCGATCAGCTCTGCCCCAGAACACTCGTCTAGGCTCCGGGCAGTGGGCTGAGGGGGCGGGGCCCTGGATCCCATTGCCACAGTGCCCTTGGTGAAGGCCGGTGTCCAGTGACAAGAAGCACAGTGGAGTGAGAGAGTGGAGGGGAGCTGCTTTGATGGAGGTACAGTACACACAGAATGTCATCAGTGGAGCAGGAAATACCCACTTCTTTGTGTTGAAGTACATTTGTGGCATGCAGCATGTTCATTCTGTAAGTTTCTCTACATTAATATAATTGTAATAATAGTCTTAAACAGCCACTCTACATATTTTGCACTTTCATAAAACCGAGGGACTCCTGAGAAACATATTCAAAGAGGAGTGGCAAAATTGATATCCTGACTTTTAGTTCCTAGCAATTAAAAAAAAAACTTGATCCTACAATTCACATAATCCAACTGGAAACCATGTTTTATTAGACCCTCTCTGATAAATGTCTTTCAAACTCAGTTCCCCAGTTTTTAAAGTAGAATTTGTTTCATTCATTGAGGAAGGCCATTAGTCCCACTGCTCCACTGAGCATTTTCCAAGTGTGAATGTGTGTAACTGTGCAAATGTGAACAAAGTGTTCATGTAAAAAAGAGAGGTTGCTTTCAGTAAGCTACCCCAAATAAATAAAAGCTAACAAATGGTAAAATTGGAGCAGTCATAAACCCTAATTTAATCCACCAACAAGCCAATTGTTGTTATTTTAAACATGATCCTAAATTACTAGACTTATTTGAGCCACTATTTCTAATATATAGCCATTTTCACACATGAACTCTGGACTATGGCTCTGTTCAGACTTGGCATTAACAAGCGTCCTGGAAAATCTGAACACAAGTAGCCAGCTCTAAGAGCACGCGGTCACACCTGGCATTAAAATGCATATCCAAATGCGTCCTGAGTGATCGGATCTGACCTCTCCCACTCTATATGCAAATTAACATGTACATCATTTCCACTTTTGTGTCTTTATCATCATAGATCATGTGGAAAATTAGGCTGATATGATTCACGCATAAGGGTGGTTGGGCATTAATTTATTCTAATAAAGACTGCTGCATGCAGTTCTTGCCATCACCACTGAAGCATGACGATGCAGTAAACGTCACTTTAATTCAAAAGTCACCAAATCACTATCTTGATCAAGTCAGTTGTCTTAAAACTAAAAAAGAACCACATTCCTCACACAGTTTATTTTGGCTGCATATCATATGGTGTCAAAAAGAAAACAAGGCACCATTTTATGGCGCACCGAGTGCAGCGTAATCTCCACTCACTATTGTCTAAATCACCCACGTCCCCAGTTATTTTTTGTTGCCAAATTTTTTACTGGTGTCTGTTATGATTACATGCACAAAGCCTACATGAAAACTATTGTTGTCCAGTACATTTCTGCTGTCAATTTGCCTGGTGAAGATTATTTCAACTGCAAAGGAAGCCATTCCATCATTCTGCAAGCTGTTGGGGATCACTGTCGGTTAGTAGCACACACATACCCAGTGATAGAAGCTATGCAAATGTCCTCTGCTGTATGTCTTTTCAGTTATAATGTATAAATAGCGCAAAAACATATATGTTAACAAGCCAACGGTGTTAGTTTAGTAGTCGTTCCCTCAATCCATCCCAGGACACATTGATGCTCAGACTAAAAAGAGAATGTGGACACAAGTGTCCCAGACCACTTCTGAATTCATGCCGAACAATCAGGTTTGAATCCATCCTGGAGTGTGTTCAGACCTGGCAGGAGGTGGGACATGATATGGTCAGGTAGCTATTTTGCAATTTGATCATAAACAACCAAGTCTCTTGCCTTTTCTGATGATTCTGGCACCAGTTCTTAATGACAGAAGTTTGTAAATCACATTGTGTCTCCACTTAGATATTTTCGTTGGTGTCTTCATTGTAAATGACCATTTTATTTCACCATTGACTGTATTCCTCCAGCTTCGCACAGGTCAAATGATAGAACGCCATCAACAAGGCCATGCCTCCATGCCAGTGACAGCCACAGCAGGGGACATCAGGTTTTGTCTGTCCGGCCCATTCTTGTAAACTCGATATGTCACCTTGAGAGAATTTCTTCAAATTTGTGTCCACTTGGACACAAGAATGAAATGATGAACTGGAAGCAGTAATTCTAGGTCCATCATGTTTTTGGATTACAATGATACCTCCTTGGATCACTGATGATAGTTACCACTGGTAATCAGGAGCTATCAACAAGTCTTGTCAGTCACTCAGGTTTTTACACTGGTCCATTTCTCCCATATCAAAGACAATGAGCAAGAACTGACTCTTCACTTACTGTCTTATATACACCTTGACAAGCATGATTGTTACAAGATAATCAGTGATATTTGTTGCATCTGTGAGTGATAATAATGTTTTGGCTCACTGGTATATGAAACTGTAAAAGATATTTAAATTTGATAAACAGTGGCGTTTGACTGTTTCTCTCAGTGTAGGAATTGTATTGCATCAATCGTGCTGCAATTAGGTAATTTCAAATCCATTTAATAAAAGCACAATTTAATAGGTTTAACAATTATGCTAACCCTTTAGAAGTGAGTGCTGGCCAAAGTGTTGTCAGTGGTCTAAACAAGAGTAGGAGTACAAGAACACACACACACACACACACACACACACACACACACAAAGAAGACAGGGTACACACTATATATTTTCAGAAAATCAGGATATCTGTACATGAGCACATGCTTAAAAATGCACAGTCGCACTGTGTAAATCCTCAGTGTCTGTCTCTACTCCCTTGTGACCCCATCTAGCTGCTCCTCACTTTTTTTTGACACATCAGATGAAGAAGAGGGTGGCATCGGTGGGAGGAGGTGGAGGCGAGCCAGTCGTCCTATCGGGCGCCACATTTCTCACTCGGTTAACACCTCGCTGGAGAAACAGGATGCCAGGCTTGGACCCAACCCCCACCCCCCCAGCTTCATCCAGCTAAACACACACTTAATGTATTTGTGACACTAAAGACAGTGTTTCACTTTCATGTTACCCTTATCCTTTCAATGAGTCTTCCTTGACCTTTAATCTACTTTTACTAAAGTTTAGCTGCTCCAAACTCTCTGAACTTCACAGATCAGATCCCATGTATTTAAATGTTTTTAATCAGCTTTCTTTTATAAACAAGTCATGCTGATCCTTTCTCTATTTGTTCTTGGCAACTTGTTTCTGAAAGCTGCCTGATAAGAAGACCTATGGGGAATTTGTCCAACTGGGTAACTTAGTAATACAGTAAGTGACTGGACATGGTGGGAACATAGACACCGAAACAGGCATTTTCTATGGCAAATTATATGTCTGTGGTAGTCCAAACCATGACCTTTTCTTAATCTTAACCAAAATGATAGAGTCTAAACCTCATGGAACACAGGATGCAAACTCGATACTTGGGTGTCAAAGTTAAGAACTCTGAGGGTGCTGGATTTTGTTGAGTAAAATTGTGTTTCTGGTGAATGTAATCCATGCAGCTGTTAGGTTATTTTTTAGTTAGATAGATATTCAGAGATTTGTTGTCTGAATGTTAGTGCAGCCAGGATGTCTTCCTCAGGCTGTTAAATGCAAGGTTGGTTAAGGCAGCTGAAGTCAGGGACGAATGTTATTATGACGGTAAAAGTAACCATAATATTTGTCTTAATGTGTAATGTTATGTCAAATTGTTTTAGATACACACCACGAAAACAACAGCCACACACATTATTTTCTTCATGTTTTGTCTACTGCTCTGCTCAGCTGCCAAGCTGGCATATCAGGTGACGTCACGGTTCGACAGCCCAGAAATGATTAATAATGTATAGCAATGCGTGGTTCGGGGTCTTTCTGCTTCCGGGCTGCTTTTGGCAGGCTGGGGGTTGGAAGATCTCTGGACTTG